CAGGGTGTCTTTCTCAACTGGGGGCTCGCTTGCTCATCAAGAAGAAGATTGTGAGTGGGGATGGCGGGGGGGAATTGCTTTAACCAGTTGACAACTTTCTGATTCAAAGATGGACAATCAGCTGTCAGAAAACTCGGTGCAGAAAAGAGTTGTCAGGAACAGGTGTGTTTGCTCATGCTCTCCCTCTGTCCTCCCCTTTCTCTCTCTCTCTGTTCAGATCCCTGAGGCAGCTTCTTCATCTCCCCAACCTCTTCTTCAATTCAGCTGGGGAAGGACACTTGAGGCAATTTTTTCCCCCATCTTTGAATGCATTTTAACACATAAATGGTAACCGATCGCAAATGTCGAATGTTCCAGCACAAAATAACATGTTTTATCCACCTCATTTGCCTTCTGGACTCCTGTAGCCCCAATAGTCCATAATTCCCAGGCATTTGGCTTAGATAGATTCCAGCTATCAGAGAGAATAACACAATTACATTCTTAGGTGTTGGTGCCTTAAATTAGAAGTTGAAGAATATTTGAACAGCAGGAATGGCTGGCATTTTATTTTAATGGTCTTGAAGTGTTTCCAGGATCTCTGACAGAACCTTATGTCACGAGCAATCGCGAGGCTCTGAATCACATTAGGCTTGCCAGAAGTAGACGAGGCATAACATTTAAGTAGCTTCTGTTACATTCTCAATTGATACTGCTATTGCTCTGAAGGACATGGAGACGGCCAGCATCTTGAGAAAAGTGTCCCAATGATGGGTATCGAGATGCAATTTTTGATGTCTACACAATGACTTTTCTAACTTCGCCATGTTCCCCACTTGACTGCTGAGGGAGAAGATCGATGGAAACGCGGTCACCATGCAAGTCATACATAAGCTTCTGGGATCGAAACTCATTTTATTTTACAAATGAGGCAAACTTTCTTGCAGTTCCATTTTCATGCTCTTCTATTTTTCTGTTAATATTGCAGACATTTGTATTTAACCCCAGGGCAATGGAAACAGAAGGGAAACTAAAAACCAATTGGCCCGCTGATCTGGGGACCATTGGAGGCCAGGAAAGGGTCATCCCTCCAAGAAGTCTTATTTCTTGAAACTTAAGAGATGCATGGGGGAAAAAATGAGAGACCCTGAGAAACTTCTGGGAGACCAAATCACATGGTAGTAGCAGAATCAACAATAACCTGAGAGGGATATCTGGGGTCGTACACACAAGCAACGCACAAGGATGCAGTTGACTTTTGCGTCTGTTGCTTAGCAGACCTGTATTCTGTTGTTCTGTTCGTCACTAGACAAGGCATCAGCAGGGTGGCTGGGTCTAGATGAGACTCCTTGGCTTGCTTTTCTCTACAGTTGTACACCTTCGTAGGCTTGTGCCTCTCTGTACATGGCCATCCTCCATCTCCCTGTCTCTCTCTCTCTCTCTCTGTCTCTCTCCCTCTCTTCTCTTACTGTTTTTATGCTGCAATCTAGGGCCTCATACACGCTAGGCAATTGCTTTACCACTCAGCTACATCTCCAGGCTCTAGTCTTGCCTGCCTGCCTGCCTTCCTTCCTTCCTTTCCTCCTTCCCTTCCTTCTTTTTTGACATAGGGTTTCATCTTACAGTCCGGGTTGGCCTGCCACATGTAACTCTCCTGCTTCTGCTGAGATTACAGGTGTGATGGAACATAATCCCTAAGTGATGCATTGCATCATTTCAGGCAGACTTCACACAATTTCTTCCTGGTTTCTACCAGTAACAGCTTTAGTTTCTGTAAGAAAATATTTTGCTGATGATCACTCAGCTATTTAAATAAGAGGCAGAAACCAAGCTGGGCACCAGTTGTTCACGCCTGTAATCCTAGCTACTCAGGAGCCTGAGATCTGAGGATTGTGGATCAAAGCCAGAGCAGGCAGAAATGTTCCTGAGACTCTTAGCTTCAATTAATTAACAAAAAAGCCAGAAGTGGAACTGTGGTTCAAGTGGTAGAGCGCCATCCTTAGCAAAAAAAAAAAAAAAAGCTCAGGGACAGTGCCCAGGTCTTAAATTCAAGCCCCAGGACAAGCACCAAACAACGACAAAAAAGAAGCAGAAACGAGTTTGACTCATTAGCCTACAAAGTCAGAATACTAAGCAATTTATTTATTTTTTTTCTGTTTTTCTTTTGTTCCTGTTTGAGACAGAGACTCCCTATATATAGTCCTGTCTGGCCTCAAACTCATGATCCTCCTGCCCCAGCCTCCTCAGTGATGAGATTACAGGTGTGCACCTTCATGCTCAGCTGCTGAATGTGCCTAGTGCTTTCCTAAAACCTTGCAAGCTTACGTTCAAATTCAGCCACTTGTTTTTTTTATTCAAATACACTAGTGGATTGGTTTCTATAGATTCAAGCACCTGTATTGGAGGGGAATGTGTCATACAATTGAGCACAAGAGAAACAACCTGCTTCATCAATGCAACATTTAATCAGAAATGCATCATCATTTGCACTTGCCATAATAGCAATAAAGTAAGATTGATCATCTAACAAAAGAACCTAGTGGCGGTTAAGTCATTTGGTTTGAAAAGGCAACACAACTTAAAACAATCCATCAAGCTTTCAGGCTTAATATGTGCTCATTCTTCCCTTAATGCAATTCTCTCCTCAGGAAGAATGTATCATGCTTTGATGCCTAAAATATACGTATTGTTTCCTTGATCAAATGCTTTGTCTTCCATATAAAATTACTTCTCTACTTGCCTTCTTTCTCTCCCATACAGTACACTGCCAGCTGAACACTTGGCATTCTCCTGGAATACAAGAATCAGCTCCAAGCCTGGCATCCTCTGAGAGGGAATAAACCATGATAGAGAATTTGGCTTCCCAGGGATATGTTTAAAGCAGGGCTTCTTGGTGAATAAAAAAAACTACCTAGGAATTGTTCCTTCTTTTGAGATGAGTTGTGCATGTATTCTCATCTTATTGGCTACAGACGACTTTCTGCAGTTGAGACTTTTTTTTTGGTGGTTGTGGGGCTTGAACTCAAGGCTTGGGGTGCTGTCTCTAAGCTCTTTCATTCAAGGCAAGTGTTCTACTAGTCTGAGCCACAGCTCCACTTCGTTTTCTGGCAGTTAATTGGAGATGAGTCTCATGGACTTTCCTGCCCGGGCTGGCTTTGAACTGTGATCCTCAACTCTCAGCCTCCTGAGTAGGAGACTATCTTTTTTAAGAACCTTAGAGGTTCCAGGTGTTGGTGGCTCATGCCTGTAATCCTAGCTACTCTGGAGGATGAGATCTGAGGATCACAGAGTGAAGCCTGCCCTGGCAGGAAAGTCCATGAGACTCTTCAATAAACTACCAAAAAAGCAGAAGTGGAGCTGTGGCTCAAGTAGAGCACTAGCTGTGAGCAGAGAAAACTTAGGGACAGCATCCAGACCCTAAGTTTAAGTCCTAGGACCAGCACACACACACACACACACACACACACACACACAAACACACACACACAAACACACACACACACACACACACACACACACACACACACACAAAGAGCTTCAGTCCACCCTCCTTGCTGAGGACATGAAGTGCCTCAAAAGTGGTTATCCAGGGGCTGGGAAGGTGGCTCAGTGGTAGAGTGCTTGCCTTGCATGCACGAGGCCCTGGGTTCGATTCCTCAGTACCACATAACTAGAAAAAGCCAGAAGTGGCTTTTCAAGCCCCACAACCAACCCCCCCCCCCAAAAAAAAGTGACTCTAATGTTGGCTACAGGTTACATTCTCTTGGGGAACAGTTTAAAACTACTCAGACTTTACCTCGGACCAATAGCTTAGTTCCATGGAGATCTGTGGCATAAAAACCACTGGTAAAAAGTGATTTAGCAAGCTGGGTGCTGGATGCTAATGCCTGTAAGATCTCAGGAGGCTGAGACCTGAGAATCAAGTTTGAAGCCAGCCAAGGCAGGAAAGTTCATGAGACTCCTATGTCTAATCAACCACCGAAAAGCTGGAAGTGCGACTGTGGCTCAAGTGGTAGAGTAATAGCCTTGAGCAAGAAAGCTCAGGGACAATACCCAGGTCCTGAGTTCAACCTTCTGGACTGGTGCGCATGAGCACACACACACACACACACACACACACACACACACACACACACACACTTTAGAGCTAGGCATCGATGACTCATGCCTGTAATCCTAGCTACTAAGGAGGCTGAGATCTAGGATTATGGTTCAAAGCTAGCTTGGGCAGGAAAGTCTGTGAGACTTTTTTTTTTGGTTGGTCCTAGGGCTTGAACTCTGGGCCTAGTTGCTGCCCCTCAGCTCTTCAGCTCAAGGAGAGCACTCTACCACTTGGCTTTGAACTGCAATCATCAGATCTCAGCCTTCAGAAGAACTCGGATTACAGGTGTGAGTCACTGGCACCCAGCTGTGAGATTATCTCCAATTAAGCACCAAAAGGTTGGAAGTGGAGCTGTGGTTCAAGTGTTAGGACACTATCCTTGAGCACAAGAGCTCAGGGACTGCACCCAGACTATGAGTTCAAGCCCCAAGTCTGGCATCATAAGAAAAAAAAAGCAATTTAGTTCATGACATTTAATAATAGCCATTTTGATCAGCAGTTAGCCTTCAAGCAAGAACTCTGAACTAAGTAATTCCTCAAATCAAGAAAAGGCACAATTTGTCTAGTTTTTCTTTTTTTCTTTTGCCAATCCTAGGGCTTCAACTCAGGGCCTGGGCCCTGTCCCTGAGTCCATCTGTGCTCAAGGCTAGTGCTCTACCACTTGAGCCACAGCTTTTCCCTTCTGGCTTTTTCTGTGTATGTGGTACTGAAGAGTCGAACCCAGGGCTTCATGCATGCTAGGCAAGCACTCTACCACTAAGCCACCTTCCCAGCCCTGTTTGGTTTTTCTTGAGTGTTTTTTTTTTTTTAATAGCCGAAGGCATTAAATGTGTCCATCATTTAAGGCTAGTTTTTTCTAAGGAAATCTCCCAAAAGCCAACCTTGCCAACCAATTCACATCCAAAATACTTGGCTGACATCACGACAGACTTTTCAGCAGACAGGGTGTGTGGAACTGAAGCCACCAGGGCATGACAAATGTCCTCGCCTTTCTCCTTGCTGGGTCAGATGGCAGCTCCTGGTGTGGCTGTGGGTGGGACCGGAAGTGGCCGCTGGAGGCCAGCTGTTGCCTGGTGAGTAACACCCACAGATTGGCTTTGGGCGAGAGCACAGTAATAGGAACCATGCAGCCATTGAAGTATATTTCCTAATTAAGGAAATCAGAGGAAATCAGTCATTAACTAGTACTTACAGCCAGCACCTGAACTGAAGTTCTCCTTGGGTTTTCTTGCAGTCCCGTCCCCTCCCCCCCCCCACCGTCCCATCCGCCCACCCTCCCCCCCCCCCCAGGAAAATGAAAAGCAGAAGATCCAGCCGTTACAGTTCCCTGCAGTAACATGACAGATCGAAGGCTGACCAACATTCCACAGCTGTTTTGGAACCCATTCTGGGAATAAACAAAAGACTGTATATGGTTTTGCCACACTTCAAAAGCACAGGCTCTCTGTGATTTGTACTTGGTCTATAGATGCAAAAGGGGAGCCAAAGAAATCAGGCCAAGAAAAGACAATGACAAAAGAAGGGACTTAATCATCGTGAAGGTTGCAATTAGAATTAAATGTAAACTCCAGAAGATTGCTTCACTCTGAAAAAAAAAAAAGAAGGCCAAGAGAGCGAGAAGCAAGCAGTCCAGAGGCCCGCATGGCTCACACCTACTCCTGACCTACAAGAACTTCAAACCTGAACCTTTTCATCATATGCACAAAGCTCAGGGAAACAAAATAAAACTTTATTATATTGCTAGGAACATTCCTCCTAGAAGCTCCTAATTCTCTCTCCTCTGCTTCCTATCTCAGTCCTCCCTATCCTCCCCCTCCTCTTCCTTCTCTTCCCTCTCTCCTGCCTTAAAATGTTCACAGACAAGTCTATTTAGAGTTGAAGCTGATGGGCAGAAGGTCTCAGTATGAGCAGAAATACCTGGCCAGCGCTAAGGAAAAGAATTCACGTGTTGACCTAGACAGAGGAAAAGGAGCAAAGTGGAAAGTCCAAGGAGGTCCAAGTGGGGGGGGGGGGGGGGTGAGCAAGATGGCTGAAGAACACAGATGGACCCCAAACTCAAACTCACCGAAGGCTTGTGGTGGCAGGAGGGTTGGGGATCTTGTGCAACAACTGGGAGGGGTTTCACCCTTGGCAAAGGACGAAATCAAGAACACATGCAGGACAGTAAATGAGAACTGTGAAGCAGAGTTGGGAATTTACACAAATTGGAGAGAGGGCTGCAGATCCTCATTGTCTGTGACACCTTTAGTTTTTGCCAAGTTTTCTTCAGTCTCTGAAGGACAGAGAGGCTTCATCTGGGATCTATTTGCAAGGATTTGTGAGACACTTTTCACTTAGGCTGAACAGCTGTGATGGTAAGCAGTGGGTTTTTCCCCCCCTCTCATTAATTTTTTATGTGTGCCTCTGTGTGTGTGTGTGTGTGTGTGTGTGTGTGTGTGTGTGTGTGTGTGTATACACATCCTGGGGCTTGAAATCAGGGCCTAAGTGCTGTCCCTGAGATTCTCTGCTCTACCACTTGAGCCACAGCTCCATTTCCAATTTTTTGGTAGTTAATTGGACATAAGGGTCTCGCAGACTTCCCCTGATCCTTGCAAATAGTTAAGAATGTTAAGTGAGGGGGTTGGGACTGTGGATTAGTGGTAGAGTGCTTGCCTAGCATGCATGAAGCCCTGGGTTCGATTCCTCAGTACCACATAGAAAAAGCAGGAAGCGGCACTGTGGTTCAAGTGGTAGAGTGCTAGAATTGAGAAAAAGAAGCTCAGGAACAGTGCCCAAGTCCCCAGGACTGGGGGGAAAAAAAGAATATTAAGTGAGATCATACCTGGATTGGGGGAGGGGAGGAGCTGTAAATATGATGAGTGTCCTTATAAAAGGCAGAAAAGAAGAAGACCCAGAGAAAAGATGGCCATCCACAGGAAGATAGAGGTAAAGAAAGGAATTGGCAAGGGCTTCTAGCTGCCACCAGATGCTAGGAGTAAGAGGCCTGTTGCTGATAATCCCCTGCGCCTTCACACTTCAGAACACAGAAGGGGAAGCAGTTCAGAGATTTTGTGGTGTTGGCAATATTTCTGATGGTTATTCAGGGGAACAATATGTGATTTTGACATTCAGAGACTAGTGAAATAAATTGGTCACATGGTTCCAGTTACCTCTTTGAGCACTTACTTGGGCTAGCATATTAGTGTGGCTACCAAGGAAGCAGACAGCGCCCTCTGGTGGAAATATGAAGACACTCCTGGGCTGTATCAACCACCATCACTAATTGCATTTAATGTGAACAATCTGATGAGTCTGTATGCATGCAAACATCCCATCACCCCAATCAAGGTCACACATATAATTGAAGAGCTCCAACATTTTCTTTGTGTCCCCTTTTCTTTGGGGCACAGCTAAGAACTCTTGAAATTGATCCTGTTAAGAGATTTTGAGGGGGGCACTGGGGGCTCATCTTTGTAATTCTAGCTGCTCAAGAGGCTGAGTCTGAAGAATGACAATTTTTTTTTGTCAGTCATGGGGCTTGAACTCTGGGCCTGGGCGCTGTCCCTGCACTCTTGAGCTCAAGGCGAGCACTCTACCGCTTGAGCCACAGCGCTACTTTCGGTTTTCTAGTGGTTTATTGGAGATTAGAGTCTCACAGACTTTCCTGCCCGGGCTGGCTTTGAACCGTGATCCTCAGATCTCAGCCTCCTGAGTAGCTAGGATTACAGGCGTGAGCCACTGGCGCCGGGCTAAGGATGAGAATTTGAAACCAGCTTGGACAGAAAAATCTGTGAGACTCCATCTCCAAAATAATCAGCAAAAAGCAGGGCTGAAGGCGCAAAGGTGAGCAAGCTGGAGGCCGAGAGAGGGGGGGGGGGAGGTTTTGAAGTATAAAATGCCCCATTGTTAACTCTAGGCTCTATGTGGTACGGTAGATATCTAGAAATTACTGTATGGTTCTACCAGTGGATAGTGCCTCATCTAGTTCCCTTCCATTTTCCTCTCCTGTGTGCTCCTCCTCTCCACACCTCTGTTTCTCCACTTAAATCTCTTTCTGTCTAGCACTTAGCTTTTTCAAAACAACTTGCTGAGCCAGGTGCCAATAGCTCATGTCTATAATCCTAGCTACTCAGGAGGCTGAGATCTAAGAATCACAAATTGAAGCCAGGCCAAGCAGGAAAGTTCATGAGACTCTTATCTCCAACAAACTACTTAAAAAAGCCAGAAGTGGCGCTGTGGCTCAAGTGGTAGAGTGCTTACCTTGAGCAAAAGAAGCTCAGGGACAGCATCCAAGCCCAGAGTTCAAGCCCAAGGACCGCCCCCCCCCCCAAAAAAAACCCAAACAAACAAAAAAAAGCCCCCAAAACAAAAAGCAAGTTGCTGTATTGGTCTCCAGGGTAACTGTAACAACTACAATTTATGCTGTCCAAAATCAAGCCAGGTGCCAGTAGCTCACTTCTGTAATCCTAGCTACCCAGGGGGCTGGGATCTGAGAGATCTGAGGACAGTGGCTTGAGGCCAACCCTGGGCAGGAAAGTCTATGAGACTCTTATCTCCATTAAACTACCAAAAAGCTGGAAGTAGAGCTGTGGCTCAAGTGGCAAAGCACTGGCCTTGAGTAAAAGAAGCTCAGGGACAGCGCCCAGGCCCAGAGTTCAGGCCCCACGACCGGACCCCAAAAAAAAAAAAAAAAAGACTCAGCTCCAAATAATCTGCAAAAAAAAACAGAAGTGGAAGTAAGTACAAATGGTATGCATGCCTGTCATGAATAGAAAAAACCAAGGAAGAATACTAGACCATGAGTTTAAGCCTCCATCTCGGCACCAAAAAAAAAAAAAAATCGAAGTAACAAAAAGTAGAAAAGTATTTGCTTTGAGCCTGGCACCACTGGCTTATGTCTATAATCCTAGCTACTCAGGAAGCTGAGATCTGAGGATCACAGTTTAAAGCCAGCTTCAAATTGGTAGAGTGCTAGGCTTGAACACAAAAGCTGAGGAACAGTACCCAGGCCCTGAGCTCAAGCTCCAGGACTGACACCAAAAGGAAAGGAGAGAAAGAGGGAGCGAAAGAGTAAAAGAGACAAAGAAAAAGAAAGAAAAAGAGAGAAAGAGAAAGAAAAAGAAAGAAAGAAAGAAAGAAATTAAGAAAGAAAGATAGAAGGAAGGAAGGAAGGAGAAAGAAAGAAAGAAGGAAGGAAGGAGAAAGCAAGAAAGAAAGAAAGAAAGAAAAAGTTTTTGCCAAGTACAGGGCTGAGGGCAAGGTTAGGACCTAAAGAGTTGTCACACAATGAGAGTTTACTTTAAAACACGACTGAATTGTCCACTGAAAATGATGAAGATGTAATTGGGAGAGAGCGAGGGAAGGAATGATATTGTCCAAAAAGAAATGTACTCTTAATCTGATTTATGTAACCGTAACCTCTCTGTAAATCACCTTTATAATAACTATTTTTTTTTAAAAACTCACTTAAAAAGTGGTAAAATGCAAGTGAAGAAAAAATGGCTAAGATGGTAAAATTGATGTATGTTTTTACCACAATAAAAACATTTTTTAGACAAAATGAGAAAAAGAATGAGAGCAAGTAAAGGAAAAGAAGCCAGTTTATCCATTCCTATGTTGCTGCACAGTCTACATGGACAGTGTACTTGTATTTTAGTAGTGTAACCTCAGCCAAACTCTAGCTAGAGAGAAGCCAAAGGATTCGGCAGGTGAAGAAAGAACCAGTCATAATGACAAAGAAGCCTGAAGAATAATGAATGAAACGGGTAACGTACATAAATAGCTGGACTCGCTTTTCTCTTCTTCAAAATTCTATTCTGTTTGGGAGCAATTTTCTCCCACTTCAAACTCCCTCATTATATAGCCTTTCATTCAAGATGTTAATTCTTCTTCTTCTTATAATTTAACCGTCCACTAATCATTTCTGGGATGGAAACACATATTCTTAAGCGAACCTCTTTTGAAGAGCTGAATTAAGCAAGACGGGGTGGCGAGTGGGACTGTTCCTCCAATTTCTTGTCCAATAGTTAATAGAATTGCCAACGAAGAACTTTTTCCAGAGTTTTCAAAACTATCCATGATAATGTTTTTCTGCAAATAAAACTTTCTCTCTCTCTTTTTTTTTTTTTTTTGGCCAGATCTTTAAGTCTGAATAAAGTGGGGAAAAAGAGAGACAAAAATAATGTAAATCTTATTGCCCTAAATGATACTTGCAAAAATGACTTCACTAAGTACTGGTGCCTCATACCTGTAATCCTAGCTACACAGGAGGCTGACATCCAGAAGATAGAGGTTCAAGACCAACCTCAACAGAAAAACTTCTAAGACTCCGTCTCCAAGAGTAGCAAAAAGCTGGGATAAAGGTGCGGTTCAAGTGGTAGTGTACCCTGGGAAAAAACTTGAGGCCCAATCCAAAAAATAACTCATGCAAAAGAAGAAAAAAAGGCTGTGTGGCCCAATTGGTAGAATGCCCTCCTAGCAAGC